ATATTGATTCCGTACGTTGGCGCGTCATCAATAAAATTCCCACTGAGCCGATCAACGCTGCCGCCAACTCTTGTCGCATACGTGCGGCGAGTCATCCTCCTGGTGTATCGCTCACGATGAGAATTAATCGTTCGTCGTGCCATTGAGCATGTCGCCGGACTCGTCATTTAATTAAGCGTCCATGGATATGGCCTTAACCATGCATGGCTGATTTTTCTGTCAACACTTATTGGACCGTGCATAAAGCCCTACATCGGCTTTTTTTCATAACCGAAGGAACGATCTAGCTTACGAAAGTTCCTACGACGCTCATGTTTTTTAACATTCATTAGTCAAACGAAGATTGAAATGTTGAATGCAATTATACGCATAGACTGACTTAAATATCTTGTACAATATAAGTAGACAGCGATTTTCAAATGATCTTTAATAATGCAATAGTAAATACAATTTTTTAAATAATTAATAAGGGAAAATTTATAACTAACGATTATCTTTTCATTACAATAATTTACACTGCAGTTACTATCGCGTAGTTATACCGAAGTAAGCAACAACGTTGAAAAATCATTGAATAGAACCAGGAAAGTAGATTATCAATTACCTGAAATTATTAAGCATTGTTGTAAAACAGTTACTGTTTGTTGTTGTAAAATTTTTTTAAATGTTATATTAGATTTAACGAAGTTAAAAAAATGCATTGTAAAAAATTACTGATTTGTCCATAAAATTTAATTTATCAATTATGTAAATAGTAATATAGTTGATATCACTACAGCCAAGCATTTTTCTTAATTTAAGTTAGTAATGAGTTAGTTTTTAGGGGATCTTTAATCCTTTAGGTTTATCGATAATTTAGTGTGGAATAATTACGATTGCTACGATTAACTAGATTGATTGAAAACAAGCTCTGCAATAATAAATAGGTAGTAATTATTAATTAATGCTGGGTGATATTGATGTGATGTCATCGTGTACAAAAATCTCAATAGAAAAATATAGAAGATAACGAAGTATTATTAATTATTTATTTCGGTTTATTAGGATACGTTATTTGGTGCTTTTCTTTCCTATTATACGCATATTTTTACTGTGTTGTTTCATTATAGGTTATGTTGCCTTTCGATGAATGAAACTCACTGCAGTTTTTACAATTTCATGTAAAACGTGATTCTAACTTTTGACATTTTTCAATTTTTATCATCCCAATTCACAGTTCAATCGATATCAAAGTTGCGAGCACAGCACGCCTGCATATCCTCGCTCAGTTATATCCTCTCAAAGCTCATGCACGGCCAAGAGTCATCGGGTCGTAAAGTCGCGCCCGCGACGATAAACCACGAGAAGCCACGGAGAAAAGAGCGAGCGAGCGAGCAAACGAGCGAGAGCGAGAGAGAGAGAGAGAGAGAGAGAGAGAGAGAGAGAGAGAGAGAGAGAAGTTCCTGCACAATTCCCCTCTTGTGGGGGGAGTCGATGGGCGGCCGACGATAACCAAGCGACCGCCTTCCTTTTTCTCTCCTCTCCTGCTGCGTCCGTGAGATATCCTCTCCTCTTTTATCTGCGTTGCTGCTGCTGCTGCTGTTGCTGTTGCTGCTGCTCTCTACCCACCTACCTGTCTTTCTCGTGGCGGCAGCGTCGGCGCTCCCACGCCACATAGCCAAAGCGCACCTGTCATCTGCAGTAGTTGCGCACGCGAACGCTACTGCTGCTACTACTACTACTGCTACTACTACTATTACTACTACACGCGCTCACAGTAACGCCGCGCACGACGAATCTATTTATCTGCCTCGAAGCTACAACCTCTGATATGCAGATTCTACTCCGCGATGATGCGCCAGTGGCCACTTTGATAGTCCCGGCTGGCGTCCAAGCCTTTTGTCCGTATTCGTATTTTGCTTTTGTGAGCCACAGTGAGCGTTTGCGGGCACGGGGAGTCGTCCTTTTCTTTTCCAATCTGCACCTGCTTGCTCACCCATTGCTCGTCTAGATTTTTCCCTTGTTCCTCGTAAGATTGCGCGATCGAGATTTCCTTTCATCTCTGTTGGCGAGCAATCATATCACCCATAGGCTTTGAGCAATTTGGATTTTAACGGATTGCGCGCGCAGATAGTAATGAAGATGCGCTCTTTGGCTCCTGCGCTTTTATCCACGAGTGAAAGCTTTTGCGTTTCGTTATTTTTTTCTTTTTGTTTTTTTTTTTTTTAACGAGCAGGTGCGTTTGCCTTTTGCGCCGCGCTACGCGCTGCGAGGCGTTAAAAAAACTTTTAATTACGCCACGTACGCGCGCACTCTCACTTTCGGCGTACGCGTAAAATACTGGATTTATGTATTTCGAGATGACCGCGAGGAAGCCGCGCGATCTTATTAAAAAGCAACTCGGATGCGCAATTTCCGTATTGATCACGTCGTCGTTATTTTCTTCCACGTCTGAAAGCGCAGTTACCAAGGTGGTCGCACCGTATCGTTTCGCCCAAGGCAGCGAAGCGTTTTACCTTGACACTGAGTCTATACCGCGGGCACAAAAGGCGAGCAAAAAATACGTCCAAGATAGAAAAGATCAGATGTATCTAAGATCGCCGCGAACTGCCAGGTGTCTTTATAATTGCGGCTCATTATGCAAAGAACTTGCTCTCTCTCTCTCTCTCTCTCTCTCTCTTCCTATACCCCGTACACTTGCGCAACGAAATCTCCCTCCGCTATATATACGATAATTGCACCTGTTGGCACGGTAGCGCTCGATCTTTCTCTCTCATCGAAAGTATGTGCATCGCACGCGAGCTACTCTACAGTTTAATCTAATCTTTCTCTCTCGAGCGTTCGCGCGCGCGGTTAAAGGTCGCGCCGCTTTTAGAAGGTCGAGGCGATCGAGACGCGCCTTGTACATTGTGCATGTGCGACTAAAGGTTTACATGCGAGAGATAGAGAGAGAGAGAGAGAGAGAGCGAGGCAGCGCGGGGAAGCCGGGGAGAATTTAAGTGCTGAATTTAAGTGTGTACGACGTAATTAAGTGATTTGCCATAGGCCAACATAGTTTTTTGGCCATTGTGCCATTTTTCATGGAACAGTTATTCAATTGAATTTCGCGTTCTTTTCGGTCGAGGGCACGTACGTCGCGAGTTTTACTCTGACTTGAGTTGCAATAATTCGATGGTTGTTTTCAATGAGAAAACCAAAAGCACAGTCTACCGACATACTCCCCGCAACGAGCTATCGTGACAAGAAGGTAAAGGCACAAAGGTAAAGCTCACGCGGGAAACGGTAACGAGAGCATCGATGAAAGCTGACACAATATGTTTGTACAAAGTCGCTTGGTCGTCGGCCACGGTCTGATTAACGAAACAGCCACTTTTCATTTAAGAAATATCGGAGAGAGAAAATGTGTGCTCGCGAAAGAGGATGAGACAACGACAATGAGACAGCGAGGAAAGAATAAAAAAAAACGAGGGCAGGCTGTATGAGGCAGCTCCGCGTTCGCCGGGGTCGATCGTAGGCGTGGCTATTGCTTATACAACACACACACAGAACGCTGCGCGCAGAATAACACGGCAGAGACAGTGGGAGTAGTATGTATAGAGATCGAGGAAAAATAAAGAAGCGCGCTCGCAAGAAAGAAAAGAAAAAGGTCGCGCGCGTCGAAAGAGGCGGAGTCGGAGAGCACGCGGATGTGATGCGAGTTGAGCGATAATTCGCATGTAATTATGATCGGATACGGGTTTTCACGAGAGAGAGAGAGAGAGAGAGAGAGAGAGAGAGAGAGAGAGAGAGAGAGAGAGAGAGAGAGAGAGAGAGAGGACGATGAAATGAGAAGAAGGTGCCAAGTTTGTAATTTTTTCATAGGTATTTATTTTTTTTGTCCTTCATAATGATGAATGTTTCATTTTATAATCGATCTATAATATATAATACATCGGTAGCGGTTTGTTTTCTTTCTTTTTCGTTAACTTTTATGTCAATTTATACAATAATTACAATCGTAGAATTATCGCAGGCGCGCTAAAATTGACTCTCGTCTTTTTGCAGAATTTAATATATTTACAAATAGATGTGTGCGTAGGCGCACGCACACGCGTACGTATAACGTATCGCCAGAATGTGCAAAGTCCAAGCTTTGGGATCTTATAAACTGGACTCTATTTATGTGAATGAGTATTCTCGTGCATCGACCGATCATCACCATCAAACGAAAAACGGAATCGAAAATTTTGATTATCTTTCGTGCGCGAGAGTCATGGAGCGAGATAAGTCATGTCCTTCTTTCGCATCTTTTTCAACTACATATTTATTTAATAAATAAATTTAATAATACTAGTGAACATTGCAAACGAGTATGTTACAAAAAGTTATCTAACAACTAAGCTCTCTTTCTCTCCTACAGAGTACGCTGGCGCGACCCGTGGGGGATCGGTTTGATAATAAAAAAAAAACGAAAAAAAAAACAAACAAAAAATTAAAAAGGAAAATACCGACCTCGAGGGCGTTCCCAACAACGGAACAATAAATAAAATTTAATCTACTCTCTCGCTCGAATACTTTGTGCGCTGCGTATGTACTTCTGTCATTCTTTCTGTTTCTCGTCGCGGTGCGCAGCTATCATCCGCGATCAATCGCGAAATCGACGGCCCTCGAGGCCCGCGCCTTCGTTTATTTTTCAATCATCTCAACATTCCGTACATATTGTGTCGTTTTAACAATCTTTTACGCGATACACCGATAACTCTATATGTTCGCATGCGTGCGTATTTGTGTGTATATACAGTGGCGATGCTTAAAATTGAAAGGATTACTAAGATAGACAGTGAATGAGATGTCGTTGGTTCGTAATTGTTTTTTTTTGTTCTGAAAGCAACACAGACGTTATCACAATACGAGAGTCTCGGCGCGGAAGTGGTGTGTGCACGCGCGCACGCGTGTGTAATATATATATATATATATATATATATATATATATATATATATATATATATATATATATATATATATATATATATATATTTCGGAAAGCGCGCATCAAGCGTGACAATATATCGCGTACGTACAATGTACGAAGGAGAGCCGCGAACACATCACATATGAAACAGACAGACACGGACAGACAGACGGACAATCTACGAGGACGAGAACATTATCTAGCCGAGGTTATCATGCGTCGTTTATGTTACAGCATGCGCACGCTCGTTTTATACAAACAGTTACGTAAGTTGAGTGCCAAGGAGGTATATAGTACAAAGTCGCGCTGCTCTGGAGTACACAAGTCCACAATCACACATCGCGCCTATCACTCTCGCGCAATCACACGCACACAGCCACACATACACGCGCACGCACACGGCGTACAATAACGAAGAAGAGTTAGTTGTCCTCTGTATTGCACACGGATACATATCTAACGCTCGTAGTTTTGGCATCACAGCAGAGGATTATCGTAGTAGTCGTACAAGTGGCGCTGACCTCACGAGGCCACCTCGCGATGAGCTTGGGGGTCGCGGGCGTGGGCATCCCTCACAGCTCGAGAGGCGAATACGCGCTCGCAGCCCGGCACCGTGCACTTGGCCACGAACCGCTCCTTGTCGTCGTCGACGCCGCCGCCGCCGCCGCCGCCACCGCCGCCGCCGCCACCGCCGCTCGGCGAGTCGGACTTGAACGGACACGGACGCGCTCCCAATCCGTTGAGCCCGGCCAAGCGAGTGGCGAACGCCGCCGGGAAAGCTGCGGGCAGGAGAAGCGGATGCGGAGGTGTTACGTGAGCCGCGAGCTCCATCGGCCGGTAGATGCCCGCGTCGGCGTAGAGCCTGGCGAAAAACTCGCTATGGGCGAGCATCGGATTGAGCTGCGAGAGCGCTGGTATGGGCGCGTCTCTGGGCGCGGACGGCGGCGGCGGCGGGCTTGACGAGGTGGACAGCAGCTTGCGGTGCAGGTTGAGATTGGCCGAGTGGCGATCGCGCGAGCGCTTGGAGGGGAAGGCGGCGTTGCAGCCCTCGACGCTACATCGGTGCATGAGCTTGAGGTGCACGTTCTGGTAGTGGGTCTTGACGCCGAAATGATTCTGGAAGAGTTTGCCGCAGGCGGTGCACTTGCGCGGATTGTCGCGGTCGAGCGGCACCTCCTGTTGGCCAACGAAGCCGCCGTTCTCGTAGCGCGCGTAAGTCATCAGATGGCTACTGTCCGTATCCGTGGCCGCTGTGGAGGGCGAGGCGCTGGATGAGCGAGAGCCACGAGAGCAGTTGTCCAGGCTGCTGATGCTGCTGCTGTCCGGGCTGGTAGAGCGTGGGCCACATGTCGAAGTGGCCCGCTCCGATTCCTCCGTGCGGCTGCTGATGATGGCTGCCTCGGCGCTGATGTTGCTGCCGCTGCGACCCTGCGACAAGGACTCGAGTTGACGCAAAGCATTCGAGGAGTCGCGGGTGGATAGTGGTGCTAGTGGGTCGCGCAGCCGCGCGGCGGTGCCAGTCGGGCCGGTGGGCTCACCTTCTTGGCTGCGCGCCGGTGACTGCTCGCGCGGCATCTCCGCCACCGGGGACAGGCGTCTTTCCTCGGCGGCCTCCGCGCTGCTGCCGGCGGCTTTCGTCGTCGTGGTCGACGTCGCCGCCGCCACCGCAGCCGCCGCCACCACCGCCGCCGTCGCCGCCGTCGTCGTCGTCGTGGCCGCCGACGCTTCGGCTTCGTCGCCACTCGAGTCCTTGGGCCTTTGCGTCTCTTGCTCGGCCTCAGGCTGTTTCGTCGGTTCCGGACTCGCGACGCTCTTGGCGCTGCTCGCGCGCGAGCTCAAATCTCTCGGCTCGTCGGCGCCGGCCTCTTCCTTGCTCTCCGGCTCCGTCGACTCTTTGTCTTTGTGCGAGTCGGGCGACCTCGAGCCGCAGTCGCTTTGCGCGATCGCCGGCGACGGCGACCTCTTGCGCTTCTCGGCCTCGAGCCGCGACATCGACATGTCTTCGGGCTGGTCTTGGAAAAGCGCGTCGTTCGACGAGTCGCCGTCGGTAGACGAGGAGTGCACTTCCGTGGGCATCGCGCATCTGGTCGGGTGTTGGGATTTGCGCTTCCGCACGCCGCGGCTGTGCAAGGCCGAGCTCAGCGAGTGAGCGTTGATCGCGAACGAGGGCTGCTGCTCGACCGAATCGTTGTCCTCGTTGCTGTCGGCATTGCTCATCAGATCCTCGTGGTCGCTGAGCTGCAGCTTCGGTCGCTTGGCCAAGCTGAAGTCCGCCGGCTCGTCGACGTCGCCCCTCAGGCTCGCCAGCCTCGCCGGCAAGTATCCGTCGTCGTCGCCGACCACCACGATTCCCCCGTCGTCGTCCTCGTCCTCGTCGTCGTCGTCGATGTCGTCTCGACTCTGCGACATCGGCGACACCACGGAGGCGTTGGACCCGCTCGACGTCCTGGCCGGCAGCGCGGCCGAGGAGGTGGACGCAGGCAGGTTCGTCGTCGTTGCGCCGGCCGTCGACGTGGCCAGTCTCTGCTGGTGAACCAGGGCCTCCTCGTAGGACCGCGCCGAGCTCTGGGACGAGGCGAGGTCCAGGTGTTTGAAGTCCAGCGCGCACAGCGAGGCGGGCGAGCGCAGATCCGGCGGTGGCGTGAGAAGAGGGAACGAGCCGAAGGGTAGGTGGTTCAAGCCGCTGGGCGGCAATGGCAGGCCGGGGCCGGCCGCCTGCGGCGGCAGCACCAGCGCGTGGGCCATGGACGAGCGGCCGTCGTGCGGCGATATCTTGCGCCTGAGGTGCGGCGAGTGGAGCTTGGGGTTGGGGTTCGCGCTGTGGCGGTTGCGCGAGCGCCGCGAGCTGAACATCATGCTGCATCCCTTGACGGTGCACTGGTGCATCTCGCGCAGGTGCACCGCGCTGAAGTGGATCTTGAGCGCCCCCTTGTCGCAGAAGGTCTTCAGGCAGACGTTGCACTGCACGCGCTTCTTGCCCGTCGCCGGGTTTATGAACGGCGTGCCCAAGTTCGGCGGGATGTTGGGCGACGCGCCCCACTGCTGCCGCTTTCCCGGCGAGTTCGGCTTTCTGCCTGGCACGCCCGGGGCTCTGGCCAGCGGGCCCCCGTGCTGCAGCGAGGACAGCGACGCGGACGACGACGAGTGTCGGTGCTGCTGCGCCTCGGTCGTCCCGGTGACCGAGTTGCCGTGCGGTTTAGCCGCGCAGCTCCCGTCTCTCCGGCTCAGATTCAGCGCGCTGCCGGAGTTCTCGTCCTCGTGGTCGTCCGAGTCGGAGCCGAAGTCGCTGCTCTTGTCGTGATTGATCGCGGAGGACGGTGGCGCGTCCACGCTCGCCCCGAGCATGCCCATGCTCGCCGCCTTGCTCATTATCGACGGCGGATAGTGCCCGTGGAAGCTCGGCGGCAGCGAGGAGGAAACCAGCGGGTGATGGCCGAAGCCCGCCAAGGACGAGGACGAGACGGGCGCCACCGGAGGCGCCGGACTCGGCAGCCTCATCGACGACGCGGACGACTTGCTGGACGGAGGCGGCGGCGGCAGTGGCGGCGGCGGCGCTATCGGTGGGAAGGCCGGCAGACCCAGGGTGCCGAGTTTGCGAAAGTCGAAGGGCTGCATGCTCTGCAGCCGGTTCAGTGGCGAGCCAAAGCTCGAATCGAGCGGGGATCTAGGTGGTGAACTCGCTCTGTAGCTCTTTTGCTGCTGTTGCTGCTGTTGCTGCTGCTGCTGCTGCTGCTGCTGCTGCTGCTGCTGCTGTTGCTGCTGATGCTGTTGCTGCTGCTGAGCCGACTGGGGCGAGAGTTGCGGGGGTGGCGGCGCCAGGGGATGGGGCAGCCTGGATGCAGTCGGTGGCGCGAGGCCGCAGTGCAGCAGGTGTAGCGGTGGCGGCAGATGAGCTAAAGGCATCGTCGGGGGCGAGGGTCGCCGGCTCGGTGACATAACATCCGTGGGCGATGGGGCCGAGTGATGATGATGATGATGATGATGATGATGATGCTGCTGCTGATTAGCGGAGCTTGTGGCGACCGTTGTGGTGCTGCTGGTTGCACCGCCGCCGCCAGCGGCGAGCAGCAGCTGCTGCACGAACGGACGCGTCTCGGCGAACCTGAGGAACTGCTGTAGTACCAGCGGTTCCTCCTCAGCCGAGCAGATGCTCCATCGGTCCAGCACCGGGCCGTTTTGCGAGTCCTGCAACAGTCGTAACAATGCGCCTGCCTTATCATCGATTGAAACAGTACAGAGACGCGGGACAGCGAGCGCAGAGGGAAGTTGCCATAACCCCGCTGTCGATTCGCTTTCGCTACGACTTTGCGAAATAACCGGGGATGATGACGCACGCTGAAACCGAGGCACGTCGCTCGTCAAAGAAAAAGGAGAAACCCTGAGAATCCGCGCTGTGAAAAATCGTAAATTTGTTTGCACACGATCGCTTATTTCGAGCTCTAGGCACTCAGACTTTCCGTTAAATATTTACGTCAAGTGTCCCCGCCGCGCGCGCGGGCAACTGCGCCAGCGAAGGGGGCCAAGCGAGTATAAAAATGCTTATTTTCGTCCGACGAGATATCGCTATCTACTTAGCGTATCGAGAGAGTTGAGTCGTCACGCCAAATTTAAACCCGCGCGCGTGTTTACGCATTCCCGAAGCGTAACGCGACATTACACTCTGTATATTTCTCCACGAGCCACTCTCGGCGCCATCCCTCGGCCGCCGGTTGGCCGTGCGCCTCTGTTCAAATAAATGTCCGCGGCGAACTTGTGATCGCGCTCGGCGCCGTTTTTTCTTTTTTCTTTTTTTTTTTAAATCTCGAGTCCTGGTTCCCGTGTCGGACAATCGAGACGCGCGTTTCTCGCCATCCAGAAAATTTGTCCTCGATATCTTCTTCTCCGTCTTTTTTCCAACGCCACGGACGAGGATGTTTTTTTTTCGCGCGATCTGCCGACGAATAAATCAAGACGCGCGCCACGCTGGGCGTCAAAAGAAATCCGAAGAGGAGAGAGGGAGGGGGGGGGGGGGGGGGGGGGGGAGACAACGCGTAACGCCTCCGTGGCCTTTTGTGGCGGAGGCGAGAGATCCATCGGCGGTGCGCGGCCGATGCGTGACGACGACTGAAAATTCCGCGAAGCGATCGTTACGTAAATGGGGAGCTACTCTCTGAGAACGCGTGCGCGCGCAGGAATACGTTGCTCGTGGGACTTTGAATTTTCAATCTCGCACGCGAACGAGGCTGTATGCAGCCGTCGTCACGCGCGCGACCGTAGGTGTGCAGCGGTCGCACCGCAGCGGGAGCACACGCGGTATTCGGGTCGAGTGTAACGCGCGCGCTCTCCTTCTCGCTCGCTTTTTCGAGGGATGTGAAAGTCTATTTTTAGGCGCCCGCGGAGGATATTGCATCGGTAATTTGGCCGTTACCGGGTCACGCGCGCGATTTATTGTTTTTACGCGCGAAATGACGAATTCTCAACGAGTAGTCACCTCCGGCATTCCCGCACGCCGGGCCCAATTCGAGGCTCGAGTATGCCATCGGAAAAATCCTAAAGTGCTGATGCGCGCGGAGTTCTGACCCGCGGCATAACAAGTGGATTGACAGGAGCGGGAACGCGTTTCGCGCGGCGAAAACACAAGAATTGTCGGAGGCACAAGCGAAACAATAATCTCACGAGCAACACGGCATGCACGTTCCGACAATGGCCATCACTTATCATTGTCAGTGTACGCGCATTGCGAGATCGCGCGTTAGCGCTCTGCCGCGCAGTGACCCGGGATATTTTAAATTAGTCGCTTATTAATGCATCGATTTCGTAAATCATTGTCCACTTGGGCTGCCGCCGACATTCATAAAGCTCTAACGGTCCCTCTCAATCTAATCTTTCTTTCTTTCTCTCGTTCGGTCGCTCGTTTCGAAAGAACGCGGCGAAATTTACAAATAGCCATATGTGCATTTGCGAAACGCTCAACAGAGAGAAAGAGAGAGAATCTGCACGCTGCGAAGACGAGCACGTAACGGTTGTAAAGCGACAGCTCTTTCTTCCTTCAAAGATGCATTCATCTTTTCATGCTTGCGTTGCAGAGTTGATTTTGAGTTTAGATGGCGAGGAGTAGACGGAATCTTGACGAAAGTGAGAGTGCGTATAGTCATAGGTGAAGAGCGAGAGAGAGAGAGATAGGCAGAGAGAAAAAGTAGGACTTTTTTGCACAATTATAGAGCCGAGCGTACTAAGTAAACTTTCCCGTCGGCGATGATCGCGTGCTACGCGAGTGAAGGGAGATCTCTTGTTCCAGTGACTGGCGCCACCTGGTGACGTCTTGCCGAAGGCGCGCGCGCGCGCCACTGGACATTGCATATGATTTCACGCTCGGCTCAACGCGGCGGCGGCGGTGGCGGCGGCTTCTTCGTGTGTAGAAATCGTGAAGATCCCCGAGTTGGATATCCGCTTTTAAATTGGATTGCACACACGCTCTTTTCCCTTTCTTTTTTCTTTTTCTTTTTTTTTTCTCTTCGCCTCCGACATCAGTCACCTTTCTCTCCCTTCCAATGTGCTGGAGACAATGCGATCGCTTCGGGTTGATATGTTCTGTTTACATATTTTTCGTCCACTTGTTGCCCTCGCGCAGCACACCGCGTACTTTCCAAAAGATTCCAAGCATGCTAATGCGCTGATATCTTAGCCGAGGTATCGCTGCTGGCGCGCATTATGCGCGTCTCTCCGTTTTTTTTTTCTTTCTTTCGTAGCAAGCGGAAACGGAAGAGCAGCGAGTGACGACCGCCTCATAGCCTCCGTCGCTTCGCGGACGCTTCTCGTCTCATCGTGGGAAGCCTCGATGCGTAATTGTTCGTTTCGCCGTTTCTTCTCTCTCTCTCTCTCTCTCTCTCTCTCTCTCTCTCTCTCTCTCTCTCTCTCTCTCTCTCTCCTTCTAACGCCCCATTGTGCGATTAGACGACGACGGCGGGAATCGGTTTTTTCGTAGCCGCTCGCGCACTCGCGTTTTCGCTTTGATTTCGTAAGCCGAGTGCGCGCGGCGATCCCCGACGAGAGACACAGCGAGAGGTCGTTCCGGCATTCGCGCGCTGTCATTGTTGCAGCTCCGCATTGACACTCTCATCGCTTGGCAGTGAGGAGGCGCGCTGCTTCGTCGCTAACGACGTTGCCTCTGCGCGTGTCGCACGCGGGAAAAGAAACGAGCAATCAATTGTTCCCTCGTGCGCCAGTCGTCGTGGAGCTTTTCTTGCGACGCTTGCCGTAAAAGTAAGGAGGAACGAAAGGAAAAACGATCTATCTAATGCCGGTATACGCTCGAGTCGAAGGCGATCAGCATACGTAAGAACTTAGCCGGCAATCTGGTTATTTTTTGCAATTAGTTGTCATCGACTGAATCGCGCGTGTTTGCGTGTGCCAAGCCCAATGAATAATGGAATCCATCAGCAATTGGCGACACCTGTCATTACGTTTTTCCCGTGCGGAGTATAATCGATTCAAGCGGCTCGCCAGCAGCGACAGCTTATCCTCCCGACGCCTCGAGCTACGTGGCCGAGTGCGTCGTCGTGATTATTTTTCTTCGTCTCGCTCGCGAGCAATCGGAATTACAATACGCGCGCGCGCACCGCAGGATTATCGCGCGAGCTGATTTTGTAGGCGGGCAATGTCGGCTGCGCGGCTGAGGCTTTCGCGCGACGCGCAGTGTCGTCAAAAAAAAAAAATTAATAAATAATAACAATAAATGATAAATAAAGTCCCGCGCTAAAAAGAAATGGAGCAATTGGACGTTCTCACGCGGCTGGAATCGATCACATTTGAATGCGCGGGCCGCTCCATACGTATGCAGTCGAGGGAGATTCCTCGCGTTTTATCACCCGCGCAATTGCCGTGCAGTCGGGTCGCGTGAGAAAGAATGTTTCGCCGCGCAGCTTCGCGCTTTCGATGCTTGCTTATGCATGCAGCGGCAAAGGAAACGGGACCAGGAAGCTGCGCGAGCCGCCGAGTTCGAGCGACAGGTGCGACTGTTGTTCGCGGACGCGCTCGCCCCGAACGAGTGAGCAAGGCGAATTCCCTAATTAAACGGCTTTCAACAATTGCGACATTGTTAGAGCTGCAGCAATATAAGTTTACTATAGCCATCGGGCAATTATAGTTAGCCGGGATACATACCTTGGGCACAAGCTTGCCGTCATTATCCAATAAACTCACTGCTTTAATTGACGCGCGCACTCGCTTGACTCTTCGGATGGCTTTTTTCTTTCTCTCTCTCTCTCTCTCTCTCTCTCTCCGTTCTGGTCACGCGCGCGCAACTCGAGTCGAACGCATCAAAATCAAAATGCCTCTTCCGACTGCGCTCGCTGTGCGTTTACGCCTGTGCGTCGCTCAATTTTTCATTTTCTCGGCGAGCTATTATTATAGATTCATTGGGAATGCGACATGACTGCGCAAGCGACACTCGCGTGCAGTTATACTATACACTACATATATTTTTTTTTCAATCGCTCGCTGCGCGCTCGCGTGTCGTTCGATTTCACTCGTTTAATAATTCAACGCTGTATACACATCGAAGCGTTCGACTCTGCAGATCATGTTTATGCTCGTCCGATGTCTAATGGCGGCAGAAAAGGAGACAAAGTATTTATTAAAGTAAAGGACGTTCGAGATTTGTAGGCGCACAACAATGACGGCAATCACGTTTACTGCGCAGCAATTAGTTCGCTCGTGCGCGCGCCGATAAAGCTTCGTTCTTTTCTGCTCGCCGCGCGCGGAACTTTCCGTGGCGTCTCAACTGCGTTAACCGCGGCGGAAGGCGAACGGCGAAGACAGCGGGGTCGGTCGCCCCGCGGTCGCGGTTCCGCGCGTCCATCGCTGCGCGCCTGTCGCGACCCTCGGGCCGTTCTTGGCATTATCGGTGTCGCGCTCCTCGGCAACTCGATCGCGAACACGATATTCTCCTCGCTCGCGTGGACGGGGGTAAAAAGGAGAACGTCGCCTTAATCTGCGCGCCCCGTGGCGGCAACGGGCCGACCGGGCAAACCGGTTCCCTCTCGATGCACACGCACACGCACAAGCTCCGCGGACGCGCCGCACACACGCTTCATTTCGCGCGCGCGGGCTTTTCTGAATGCGCGGAGTGTGCGCATACAACAACCTTCGTTTCTCGCTTTTCTTTTCGTTATCCGTCAGTGGGTTGAAAGAGAAGCACTGCGGGTTTTGTTTCTCTCTCATTCTCTCTCGTCATTCGATCGTTGCACAAGCTGTTGTTGTCATGGCACCGACAATTTTTTTTTCTTTTGACATCTCGTCGATGACTTTTCGCCGAGGCACTTTCTTGGGTTGCGGCCAGTTTTTCATGCCGTATAGCACTTCCGAACGACCTCGTTGTCGTCTTCGTCGCGCTTGTCATAATGTCCACTGCTTCTTGCTGATGATTTTATTTTAGACGTGACGTCGTCTTCGCTGTCGTCGCGTTTCGTTGGACTCCGAAAAAAACTGGTCGTGGCGCGAACAAAGGCTCGCCGTGGACCGACGTTGCCGCCTTCTTCTTGTCGACGACGATGATGTCGCACAGAGTTTCACACGCGATTATTCACTTGCACATTGATGCATCACTCGACAGTTTTGTTCAGTTCTTGTCCTACACAACAGTCCCGTGGCTATCTGTCTCTGGTCAACTTCACTCGCGCATTTGTCCTTTGGAACAACGATGAGCGCCAGCTTTATGGCAAATTGGTGAGTAACAATCATAGAGCGTTGAGCAAGCATTAGTAGACTGATGTTGTTGCAGGTGAGCTAAGAGATGCGGTGGGTATACGAGTTTGGCCGTGATGGATTAGTTAAAAGTGCGTTGTCAAAGCCGACAAATGTCGCGAACGCGGGCGGTCGACAAATGGAAAAATGAAGGGTTGACACACGCGAGACGAAAATACAAGCGAGCGCGCGCGTCGAGAGCGAGCGGACAAGTTGACGGCTTGTCAGAGTGGCGAAAGAGTAAAGGCGTATTTTTGGAGTCGTCGCGAGCTTTTTGACACGCACGCTGCGCGCTGCAAGTAGAGCGACACGCGAAACGAGAAAAAGAAGGAGCGCCGTCGGATCGATGCTTGGCGCGCGACAATGTTTGTCTTGCAAATGCGCGTGCAGCTTTCACTCGGCAAGGAGTGGAACGAAAGGGCAGAGAGTAGAGAGAAAGAGAGAGAGAGAGAGAGAGAGAGAGAGAGAGAGAGAGAGAGAGAGAGACGAGGGTAAGCGGAGGTCGACGGGATATCAAAGTAAACTGACCTGCAGAATGTAGCCCCGAGCGAAGTCGTCGTTGGTCCAGCCGAAAGCGGCGAGCAGCTTGGCGAGCTGATCGTGCGGCAGCTGAGTGAGCAACTGATCGAGAAGTATCTTGAGCCTAATGGGTAGCGCGCGCGAGCCGTAGAGCACGAGAGAGGCGACGTCGAACGCGACCGTCGGCTCGAGAGTCTCTGAAGCCGGTGGCCTCTCCTCCTTCTGCCGAGACTGCTGCTGCTGCTGCTGCTGCTGCTGGCGCTGCCGCTGCCGCTGCTGCTGCTGCTGCTGCTGCGACTCCCCACCACCTCGGTCGCTGCTTCCAGTCGTCTCGCCCCCGCCGCAGCCACCGCCAGCGCTGCGATGCTCCCTACCCAAGGCGACATCCCCACCGCAGTTGCGCGACAGTCGCGCGAGAGCTGCAACACACCAACACACGCGCGCGTCTAAGTATACAGCTGCCTGCTGCTGGCCTCGCGCGCAGAGTGGGGAGGCCGTCGGCGAGAACTCCGCTGGCACTGGGAACGTGGCGCCCTCTCAGTGCCAGCCTCCCCCGCGATTCGCCGCCGCGCCGCTCTGCGCGACATCCCTCGTTTGACGCCCCACTCCGCCGCTTCTGCCGCACGCACACGCACACGCACACGCGCGCGCACGCTCGAGAATTATACTTCTCTTCTCTTTTCTCTCCCTGCTATTCTTTTTTATTTTTTTTTCTTTTTTTTCGCGATGCCACTACTGCTGCTCTGCCGCCACTACTGCTAGTTGGTTGGGCGGGCGTGTTGTTTATCCGGCGTATTGCAAGCGCGCGACGGAGGGGAGCGGTGCGTGAGTGCGACCGTGAGCTTTCTCACGGTGGCCCGACGACAGCCTGGCTCGCGGAGCAGTCAGTTGTCGGCCCGAGCGTCAGTCGATTATTTTTAGACCGAGCTTCCCTCGAAAGCTCAAAATGGCGTTCTTGCCAAATTTATACGTTGACGTCGGCCGCAATTGACTGTAATCGATTAATGGGCCGTGCGATGCCTAACACCTGACTCGCTTCATAACGTTTGCGCCCGGGAACGGCCGCTTTCGAACTCTAATTTAATGCCTTGTATTTTCAGCGCAGCCCGCGCGAGAGATTCATTGTTCGGGATAAATATTTTCACGAACAACAGCCGGTTTTTCGAGAATCCATCACGTGCACCCTGCACGTCGTAATTCAACGACGCTAGTTCTCACCTTACCGCAAGCGCAAATCCAAGTGGAACGAGACATCGCGGTCAGGCGGAGGCAATGAATTTCCGAGTTGAAGCGAGCGGTGCGCGGACGAGTCGAGATGAAGCAACAATTGGGGGAAGGAAATCCAGCGAGGACAGCGATAGCGATTAGGCGCACAAGTTGCTCAGCGAGATATGGGTTTTTAATTAGTTGCCGATGCGTACGCATCAGGCACGCTTTGATCCCCGTATCTCGTAAGCGTGGAGGTAAATGTTGGCGAGGTTCAGCGATTGAGCCATAGCTTACATTCCAAGGCCTCCCTCTCTCGGTCTTTTGCTCTTTTTACTTGCATTTAATAAGAAACCTAAGTACGTTTCAATTAGTTGTTCGTTGGTTCGCACTCAACCTTCCGTACGTCGGCTTAATGATTACGAACAGCCGAGGTTTCTGCTTGGGGCCCGATCGAAGCGGAAAAGAAGGTCGCATTCCCAAGGAAAATAGAAGGTTTGCACTTGGCGTCGCGCCCTTCGGACAAACGTGTAACGAGCGAGCATCGGGATGTAGCGCGCGGAGAGGATTAGGATTCGCTTATACACGTCCGACTGTATGTATCGCTGATAAGATTGGCGGCGTCGGCGGCACCTGCGCTTTCCCCGGCACCGTCACGCTTTTCGCGCGTTACGCTCACGAAAGTCGACTCGTTCCGTGCGGGGCTTCACACTGCCGCCGCGGCGATGCACCTCCGTAAGCCTCCTCGCGATCCTTATCCGCGCGATGGCGATGCAAGCGTACGCGCGGCCTGCCGGCGCTGCGGCACGAAAAATCGAATGCACGCGCGCGCGCGCAGAGGGATTTTATCGGAGCGTAAGCGCGCTTCTAATGAGAAACTTTTTCGGGTAATTGCCGACTAGTCTGCTGCCGCGGAAAGAAAAGCGAGCGAACGAGCGACGAGTCGTGAACGCGTGCGTGCACGCTGCTCGCTGGCTGTTCGTTCGATCGCGATTTTAATTGACACACGCGCTGCCCCGATATCCTTCTTTGCACAGCGTGTCTGCGCGATTTATTGCCGATGTCTAATTTCGCAAGTGTTAAGGCTTCATTTATGCCGGCCGAGAGCGGTCGCGTATCGCATAATTGCAGACAATTTACACCGCGTTTCCGGCGCGCCGTTAAAAACAAAGTGTGGCAATAACACTGCGAGCCGTATCGTTAGTTATTTTTGCAAAGCAGCGGCTGCGCGCACCGAATGTTTCATGCGATTTCTATAATTCAAGCTGGCGAAAATGATACGCTCCGCGAAGTCCGCCTCGTAATTCGCGGTCTCGTTGTGCCGGCAAAAGTCGAGCATCGTCGATATGTATCCGCGAGCGCGCGGACCGCGAGCATTAATGGGACAATAACGTTGATGTATAGATGGTTTAATAGCGCTTGGTGGCTTTATCGCTCGGCGGCGGCGACGGGCCCGGCCCCTTTTTAATCTCGTTTCCCCCAAATAAAAAGGATCCGATCGGCGCGCAATCAAAGACGTGACCGGCGCGTCTGGGATGAATGAGCGCGCTCGCTCCTCTTGGATTTCTTCGACTGTAATCGAACGAGAAGCTAATTATAACGCTCGCGGAGGCTGCGCCGCGATGCCTCTCGCGCTGCCCTCCTTTTTCTCCCTTTCGTTGCTGCATGCGAGAGGGGGCGGCGCAACCGCTGATGGCTTTTTCTTGCCTTGTTGTCGCCGCCGCCGCCGCCGCAGCGTGGGGGCTCTGCGCTCGCTGCACTACCGCCAGGCCAGGAACAACGCACGTACGCGTACGCGTTCGCTCGATAACCGGACTCCAGTCATCTTCGAACGATCGCGCGGGCGCCACTTGTCGTTAATGCCCTCGCTTGCGTTCCTCTTTTCTGTTTCCTCTTATTCGCCTCTATCAAAGCCCCTCCGATGACAATCTCGCGCACGAGGCGGGAAAACCTGTTCTTCTCTGTAGACAGCTGCGCGTGCGGGGTATATAGAGGAGAACCAGATACATGGCCTGTTTACGATCGTAAATTTTGAATTTCTTAGCCCGCGCTCTCTCTCTCTCTCTCTCTCTCTCTCTCTCTCTCTCTCTCTCTCTCTCTCTCTCTCTCTCTCAATAGTCTCGGCGGCAAATTATATAGACTTTAACGCGATGATGGTTTAATTAAATGATTCCGAAATAGACGCTGATTCTAATTCATTTCAATTTACTCGTTGGTCCTAACGCGCTAAGGTGTCGACAATTTTCATCAAGACAAGTGGCTATTTAATTTCCAGTTCTTTCGATATTTTAATTAAAGCACCGAAACAATTTTAATCCTCCCATCGAAATATCAACAGTACTGTACAGGGACTTGCGCGTAATCCTCGGATATAACAAAAAAATGGCAGCTTTGACAACGAAAAAAAAAAAATAAATAAATAAATAATAAAAACGAAGCGAAAAAAAAATAGTACCGTCGTCCGATAACAGCGCATACGCGGTGTGCATCGCGAACGGGGCTCTCGAAAAATTAAAACCCAGTCGGAAGGGATGAATGAAGCAAAATCGCATTTCCTGGACGCGCGTTCGTAATAAACAAACGGGATTAAACATCGCACCCCTCACCCCATCTCTTTCCCTCTCTCTCTCTCTCTCTCGCTCTCTCGTTCGCATTTTATTTATTTTTTTCTGCGGCCATTATTTTTCGCGCCGCGCGTTGCATTCCACCAATATCGGGTTACCTGCGCGGATTTTTGCCTCTGTCCGTCTATGTGCAGCATCACGCCGCGGCGTATCGGATTTTTGGGAACGTCGCGCGCGCTATGTCAATATTTGGCTGCGTGCTGTTTCGCCTATATTCCGCGCGCGGTGGATATTTTTTTACGTCGTCCAAACTTCTCTGCGCGCGATGAAGGTTTATTATATTGCAGGTTCCGTGTTCGTGGAAAAATATTTTTTTCGCCACCGAAACCCGGATGAGTTTTTAGACTATTATAGGAAATATTTGCCCATGTACATGGGTGACTTAGGCCGATCGAGTCTGTCGATGGAAGCGCTTGGACAAACTTTTTTTGTTATATTCTCGGGCATAAATAGTCGCCGATTGCGTTTTAAATGAGATTGAAATCTGATCGGCACGCTCTATAGAGTCTGACAATGGGACGCAGACTTAAATCGCGGTAGATCAGATATAGAAAAGCAAGAGTGTATAAGAGTGAAAAGACTCTCCCTTAAATGATCATTAGTTAAAAAACGCATTGTTATGGTGCGTCATTCACGCCTAAATCCAAATTCGTCTCATATAGAAGTGGTACAAAAGAAAAGTGCCGCGGCGTGCCGTTGTGCACACACGCGCAGACACAAGAACGCGTGCGCTGGCACAAAGAGCCGCGTCCATCGGTAACAAATGATACCTCGGCGATAATTAGCGGCTCTTTTTTATGCGCGCGTACGCGTAACGGGACGCAAGCGTCGGAGAGCCAAGTGTCAATGCGGCAGGTGCGCGCGTCCGAGAGAGCTGCCGTGCTGCAAGTTATACGCGGCCATTGTTCCCAAAAGTGCAAGATAACCTTAGGAAATTGCGTGCGAAATGCCTGGCGCGCCGTGACCGGGTTGACAGCTCGCCCCGCTCACTCCGGAGCCTCCGAGAGCAGCACAATGGGAGGAAGTCCCTTCGAGATGCTACGACGATGCTCGCCCATCGCGACTCTCTCGTACTAACCTTTCCATAGACAATATGGCGCGGACGAGCAACCACTCGGTTGAAGCGCGATCTGCTAACTAGTCGCTTTCTTGACAGCCCTTTCGGCTGCAGTGCTATCGCTTAGGGATAGAATCCATTGCTATTAGTGCCTTAGTAAGACAAGACACGAGCTGCGTGTGAAAAAGCGATTCTATTAAAAATAATTGATTATTGGTAGGCCGGCAACGAAGCACAAGCTGGCGAACGCACCGGCGTAGCTTGCATCGTAACAGCTCGGACGGATTGGGCTTGAGAATAGGTTTGAACTGGCGGCACTCGTGCAATGCGAAGGAGCGCGACAGTGGACAATTGTGAAGGTGGACGGACGGCTGAGAGAGCTGAGCGCGCATAAATCATAGCACCGGCGAAAATGTCGTGACAGTGTCGCCTTTGTGTCGTGGATGGGACGGGGAAGGCGCCAGGGACAAAAATGGAAGCCTCAAATCCCGAAGGCTGCTGGTGAATCGTCGAATGATATGATACTTCTGGG